ACGACGTAGGGATCCTTCATGAACTCTCTGACTAGATGGTCTATGTGTCTGTTCCAGTGAACACCCACTGCCACAATCTGGTGTGGTGCAGACTCCCGCTCTTCCACTTCAACATTTTTTTTAAAGTTATCTAATATGGCAAACATCTGAAAAATTAGTAAATTTAATCTTTGTTTAAATTTTAATAGAGTAAAGAATTAGCTGGGACATAAAATTCAGGGACTATCCATTTGATGTTTTTAGTGTGGTTTTGGAAAGCCTTTCCAAAGATTAAAAAAGGAAAAAAATAAAAGAAAATGTTTGTCAATAACACTGTAAAATTCCACTGGGACAGAATAAAGTCACAAACAGCATCCTGGTGTATAATGTTTGTACCAAGGATGCTTATATTAAAGACTTCAAAACTTAATTATAGAAAAGATAACCCCATCAATTAAAAACAAGCAACACACAGAAGAACAGAAACAATGATCAATTTGCATTAATTTTCAACCTAATTAGTCAAGGAAATAGGAACTAAGCAAATAGGAACCCACTGTTTACCAGTTGGCATAGAAAATAAAACAAAAGCCGGGCTCAGGCCTCCACATGGCAGGTAAGCAGTATGCCTGATGTGACAGCATGCTGGCAACAGCAACAGACTGCCCACGGTTTGCCACGGTACAGAGCTGCTCTCTAGCTATCAGCGTGGTAATATGCATCACGGCTTCAAAGGAGCCCACACAGTCACTAAGAAACAAGCCTGCGCTTTACCTGGAGGCTACCAACACTCCCAAATAGCAATTTTGGTCAGCATGCCACACTGTTTCCAACACATGATTCACAAACTCAGTTTTAAAGGTATGTGGCTCCTTGGGGCTGGAGAGATGGCTCAGTGGTTAAGAGCATTGCCTGCTCTTCCAAAGGTTCTGAGTTCAATTCCCAGCAACCACATGGTGGCTCACAACCATCTGTAAAGAGGTCTGGCGCCCTCTTCTGGCCTTCAGGCATACAGACAGAATATTGTATACATAATAAAAAAAAAAAAAAAGAAAAAAAAAAGGTATGTGGCGCCGATCCCAGAGAACCTAGACAACAATGAGGACTTAAGAGAAACTTACATGGATCTAATCTACATGGGAAGTAGAAAAAGACAAGATCTCCTGAATAAATTGGAAGCATGGGGACCTTGGGAGAGGGTTGAAGGGGAGGGGAAAGGCAGGGAGGGGAGCAGAGAAAAATGTAGAGCTCAATAAAAATCAATAAAATAAAAAAATAAAGGTATGTGGCTCAGCAGGAGGGCGCTTCCCTAACAGGCACAAGGACCTATGAGCAATAACCATCATGCTGCACAACAGCACAACACTATTTGGTGTGGGAGAATGGTCTGTATTCTGTCAATTAAATTTTAAATAAATGCTGACTGGCCAGTAGCCAGGCAGGAAGTAGAGGTGGAACAACCAGACAGGAAGTAGAGGTAGATCAAGAAGAACAGGAGAATTCTGGGAAGGAGGAAGCCCACGCCTCTGCAGTCCTGATCCAGCCACAGAAGAAGCAGGATGTGACTGCCCTGCTGAATAAGGTACTGAGCCACATGGCTAACACAGGTAAGAATAATGGGCTAATATAAGCTGTAAGAATTAATAAGAAGCCTAAGATACTAGGCCAATCAGTTTATAACTAATGTAGACTTCTGTGTGATTTCTTTGGGACATAACGATTGCAGGAAACAGGCAGGAAAGAAACCCTGACAAGGGCTGGAGAGATGGCTCAGCGGTTGAGAGCACTGACTGCTCTTCCCGAGGACCCGGGTTCAATTCCCAGCACCCACGTGGCAGCTCACAACTGTCTGAGAATCCAGTTCCAGGGGATCTGATACCTTCACACCAATGCACATAAAATAAAGTTAAATAAACCATGAAAAGATTAAAAAAAAAAAAAAGAAACCCTGACAACAACTATTAACTGCAAAGTTTAAATTCTGAATCAGTACTAAATGGCTCTTGCTATTAAGTGCATTTATCAACAAAAGCCATTTAAAAGAAAGACTACCTCTACAAGATAAGGGACGGTGGATCTGCTTTCAAGTGCTCCTCTATTTTTTAATATTTTTAAATTTTCTTTTAAGAATGTCCCTTCTATAATTAGAGAAATAGTAATGAAATATGTAACAAATTTTCTTGGGAATTTCTGTTCTTCAAAGGGAGATTTACCATTAGGAAGGAAATTTCAGGTAAACACACTCTTATAAATTATAGATACAAACCAATTGATTTGCCAACTGTATATTCTGATTGCTTCAGGCCCTGAAGAGCTGACACATTTCAGAAACACACAAGCTATGGTAATGGATAGCAGTGGCACCCAGTGTGCCCATACTCACTTGCTCATTGGCTTCAAAGAACAACACTTGCACTTCATCTAGAACCAGGTGGCAGAGTCTAAGAAACAACAAGCTTCTGTACGTGAGAAGTCTCAAGAGGCTGTGTGGAGTTGTGACAATCACATCACCTACATTGAGAAAAAAACAGTCAACATCTTAGGGTTTCTAAAAGTTTCTCCAATACTCCCTTCACCACGATTCACTTCCTTCTCAGCAGCCATTTCTCTACTGGGTGAGCAAGGCAAGCAAGCCTCCATCCACCCTGTCTTAGCCTGCAGTATCTGACCACACCCCCAGCTGCCACAGGCTCTGCTTGCCTGAAAGGCAGATTTCCTCAACTCTAGGCTCAGCATCTGACAGTGAACAGTTAGTAGCACATGACAACTGAATGAAATCATGCAGCTTTCTCAGACGTGAGTCAAGACTGAGCCTTCACCACAGACTCCCACTGTAGGAAGTCAAGTCAGAGCCAGCGGCCAGTAACTGAGGTCCCAGGTGCTTAGGCAAGCTCACCGTCATCTGCAAAGAAAATCAAACAGCTTGGAAAGGATGCTTACACCCCCTTGGAAGCTTCATATTTTTGGCTTCATCTTTGTGAAGTCCAATTGTTAATAACACAGGATGAAGAGGCCTGGAGGACATGCTATAGTCTCCCAATAACTCAAAAATAAACTGGGCCTTTTTCCACCCAGGACACACGATGACTGCAAGAGGCTGCAAAGACAAACAGATTCAAATAATTTTGGACAGTTGTTAGGAATCAAACATAATGTATACGAAACATCCAGACCATCTCCTGGCATAGAATTAGTCTTTAGCTATCATCATACAGATGAGAAAAGTAAAAATATAATTTCATTAGAGTGGATTTAGAAACACTGAACCAGTTCTTAAGCCAAGGCAAAACACTCCCTAAGACATTTAACCTTAACATACTCTTACAGGGTAGGGCCAAGTATTCTTCTTTTGCTTCATCTTTTTTTTTTCTTTGAGACAAGGTATCTCTGTGGCTTTGGAGCCTGTCCTGGAATTAGCTCTTAGACCAGGCTGGCCTCGAACTCCCAGAGATCCGCCCGCCTCTGCCTACCAAGTGCTGGGATTAGAGGCATGCGCCACCACCACCCGTCTCAGAAAGTTTTTCTTTTCTTTTTTAATTTTATTTATTTATTTATTTTTTAAGTTGTCCTCATTTCCCAGGAAGACTCTCAGGCACAGAGGTGAAGTCACTCCTCAAGGCTGTGCAGCTAATACATCAGTTAAAAAAAAAATAGAGCACAGATGTTTGGCTCCGTTTCCTGCTCCTAAGCCATCAGGATGAATGAATACCTTAAAAGAGTGTTCACCTCTGAAAGAACCTTAAAAGGACCACTGACTCCTTCTTAGACTGCCTCTGAATTAGACTCCCTAGAAGGTGATCTGCCTGCCAACATTTCATGGACATGTTTTTTACTGAGAAGAGCCTAGTGGCCTCCTTCCTCTAGGAAGGTCCAGACAAGTGCCAACTTCTCCACGGGCCTGAAAGCAGGCTGCTATGGCAGCAGGGGAAAGCAGTGGTGACACAAGGACTGGATGTCACTTTCTGCCTCAGAAAGGATTCTCAGCACAAAATGGCACCTCCACCATCAGCTGGGCTCAGCTGCTTAACCTAATGAAGGGTATAAATGCACACATTCAAATCCGTGCATAACTAGTAGAGGTTCCAAAGATAAGTCATCACACTGCATGGCTGGCTTAGGAAAAAATAAACCCCAGGACCCCTTCACACCCTAAGCAAGCTTCCTTGCCACACTTGCTTTATGGTGCATGGTGGACCCTCTATACTGTAACCTTTGTGCCGTGTTCTGGGATGGAAGTTTTATAATGACTATTCTGCAGGGCCGAACCCAGCAAGCCACTTGCTGCCGTTCTGTCCTTGTGTCTCGTTTCCCTCTTCTTTCTTGTCCTGGGGAAAGACTACTGAGCAGTAGGAGGTGCAAAGGAACAAAAGAATGTGGGGTAAGACAGCAGAGATTGAACTTCTAGTCACACATTCCCAACAGTCTCCTGCACACTAACTGTTCTCACGGGAGACAGCAACAAGACATGGCCTGACCATCTTATCTCGGGGTGATGTGGCAATTTTATGAATTAAGGTAAGATCACCGTACAAACTCTATCATCTCTAAAAGGCACGTCTCTTCTGCCCAGCTTGGGCCATAGAGGGAAATCACAGCAAGAGTCATCTGGTTCTGACACTAAGGAAGCAAAGAATATTTTCTAGCAGTCCACATTTTGTCTTCTTCCAACGTGGTCTTAAGGTGTGTCTGAGGCTGAACTCATGCCCACAACATAGCCCAGGCTGGCCTCAAACTTGTGACCTTACTGCCTCAGTGTCCCAAGTACCGGGAATATAGATAGGCCTGTGTCACCAAGCCAGACTGTCAGTCCATCCAGCTTCTAGACTATCAGTGTGGGAAAAAATTGAGTAATAAAACTTCAGCTTTACAAAAAAAAAAAAAAAAAAAAAAAAAAGACGTGTTATTTGAAAATAAACATTTAATCCATTTCAAAACGATTTCCAACTTACTCCATTTCTACTTGGTAATGACTTGTAGCAGCCCCCCATCTGCAAAACCGTAAGCAGCGGTGGCAGGTACAATAAAGGGTCATTTCCACAGTGAGAAATGACCACCACGTCACAGCCACGTGCAATAGGAGGCCAAGAGTAAGATGCAGTGTGGCTGGGTCCCGGGAACTTGTTTCTTTGAAGAGCCTACACAGAAAACGGTGGGGAACGGGGAAGAGAAAGATGAATGACAGCAAAGAAATCCCTCCATCTCACAGCCCCCTCCCCCCAGGACATAGTACACAGCTTATGGGGCTTATCCTGCTGTGCTCCAAAGACCTACTTTAGGTTCTGCGTGAATTTCTCCCAAGCACTGACTTCCTGTGTTCAGACTACTGGTTCTCTGAACTCATAGCCAGCCCTCTGACTGGAGGACTAAAGCACACACAACAAGAAGGCGGCTTTGTCTCCTTATTCTCTTCATATTCTGCCAGCCCATCTGCCTCACTTGTAAAAACTATTCCTCATTTGATTTTTGAGACAAGGTCTTGCTATATAGCCAGGCGGGTCCCAAACTCTCCGTTTGTTTTTCTTTTCTCATTTCATGTGTATTGTTTTGGCTGCATGTAGTGTTTGTGCAGCATGTTCACATAGTGCCTGTGCAGGTCAGAAGAGGCTGCTGGAAACCAAAGTCGATCTGCAAGAGCAACAAGCTCTCCAGCCCCAAACTCTTGACCCTCCTACCACAGTTTTCCAGGGGCGGGGATTACAGATGCATGCCACCCACCCCACCTACCTTAACATTTAAAAAGAAAAGAAACATGATTTTATTGACATATTAATCTCTTCACCTATCACTAAAACCTGAAATGTTTCAGCAGAAGTCTGCAACCAAATACAACGTTCTAAAAGGCACTGAGTGCTGTGCGATTCTCCTCCCCAATGTCCCGAGTTTCCAGCAGAGCTGAAGGCACATGTGCCAACTTGCTCCTTCATGTGATCTTCATTCTTGACAGTCTTGTGGAGGAGAAACTTGAGTAGCTTTTGGACATGAGGTGAAGAAAATGAGACTCTGAAAACCTGCAAACACCTTTCTGCCTGGATAGCTCACAGAGAGCACATGTGTAGACCTGTCTTAGGGCTGGAAGGACTGCACACTCAAGTCCAAAGTCCCTAGAGCTGCTGGGTGCAAGTCTGAGGTCATTCTGAAACATGACCTTGGGTGGGACCACTTCTTAACAGCTCTCATGACCTCTGTACCTGAGTTCAGCTGAGTGACAGCCACTTGGTTAACCACTCTGCTCATTCAGCCCAGCCCGATTTGACTACACGAGGGTCATGTCACCGCCACTCCTCAGAGAATCTCCTTCTGCTTCCTTTTCTCTTGCATTCCAATTTTCAGTTATTGGACCAAGTTAAACCCTAAACTTTATTCTACTTTCATCCTTCTTTCAGTTCGCCTGCATTTTATACCTCACACCTACCAGTCAAAAATATTCTCACTCTTTATTTTCTGAATCTTCCTTTCATTCTAACTTTGTATTTTGAGAGTTTCATGTAACTCAAGCTGTCCATGAATTTGTTCTTCCTGTCTCTACCTCCCAAGTACTGAGATGACATCAGTCCCCCCTTAAAGTCTAAGCGTTTTACTTCTTGTACGTTAAGCAATGAATTCATAGGAACGGATGGAGCAGCTCAGCTCTTTTCTATTATCTCTCACAAGCTACATCTGCAGGGGGAGCAGGCTGGAGCCACAGCCAAACCCAGATATTCTTTCTCGCTGGCTTCCACTCCCCCTTCATTTTCCTGTACCTGTTTCAAGAACCAATCAGTTCTCCAGCATGCTTAATATGTTCAGGACACATATTGACATGTAAACTGTGCTTGTTTACAACAGTACCAACAGGGCTGGAGAGATGGCTCAGAGGGTAAGAGCATTGCCTGCTCTTTCAAAGGTCCTGAGTTCAATTCCCAGCAACCACATGGTGGCTCACAACCATCTGTAATGAGGTCTAGTGCCCTCTTCTGGCCTGTAGGCATACACACAGGTAGAATATTGTATACATAATAAATAAATAAATATTTAAAAAAAAAAAAAAACAGTACCAACAGCATGCTGAGCGACCCTGCAGCCTCCTGGTTTGCTGCACTAGTACTCACGGGGTGTTCCTTTTTGAACAGTACCCCTTCCCTTGATGTCTACAGTATCACTCTTTTTGTAGATTTGCATGTATATGGCCAAAGGAACAGCTGCATGTCTCCTGGAGGACCTGGAGAACATATAGTGAGTGAGCAACAGTTCAGTTCCCTACAAGGCCTGGGGACGCATCCAGCAATCAAGTGATCCTCCTCTCCTTTTGTGTCTGTCACTATGGCCAACTACAGCAAGATCCTTGGTCCAATCGAAAGGAAACCCTACCTCCAAGAACAGAATCACAAAACCTTGTTACTGTGAAATGGAGGCAATATCTTCTTCTGTCTCTGAGGCAGTTTTCTTTTCCAGAAATCAAGTCTCACCGTGCTGATCGTGCTGATTTCAAAGTTCTGAGCTCAAGGACTCCTGTGTCCCATCCTGCCCAGTCCCTAGACTGCAAGCCACAGCACTGCACCCAGTGAAGTGAACTTTCTGGCAGTCTCTTCTCCCTGAACTGCATTTGGTGTTTTAGGTGCAGGATTATTATCAACATATCTATGATCACCAGTTTGTTCACACGGAAGAGAGACTGAAAGTCGGCAAGCAGCTCAATGAGACAAATCTTGTCATCAGGCTACTGCAGGAAGACAGGGTGGCAAGCAGGCATTCTGACTGGGGCAGTTTCAAATAGTAGCATGAAATGCTCTCCAGAAAGTGACTCAAGCCACCCCTCCCCCTCAGAACAATACAAACTGGTAGTGCACAGTCAAGAAGCAGACTGGGGATGTTCACTGTCCACCTGCCTTTCCTGCCTTAGTCAGCCACGCTGCCACCTGTCCCACCTCCCTGAGACCTGTACAACCTCTTCCCCGCTCCAGACCTCACAACCTTTCAGCAGTCTGTCCATCCTTGAGGTTTGGCTTTCTATTATTCAAAACCAAACCTTAGCCTTTTTAAAAGTCAGGATGGAAATATAAGTGTATGTAATTGATTTACCAAGTGAAATCTAAGGATTATAAAAAAATTTGGCAAAGGATGGATAAAAAAATTATTACTCTGACCTAGCAATGTGTTCTAAGCTCCCATTTGAAAACTTACTTCAGCTGGGCGCTGGTAGCACACACCTTTAATCCCAGCACTTGGAAGGCAGAGGAAGGCAGATCTTTGTGAGTTAGAGGCCAACCTGGTCTACAGAGCAAGTTCCAGAACAGGCCACAAAGTTACACAGAGAAGCAATACCTCGAAAAACCAATGAATGAATGAAAAAAAAATAAAAACTTACTTTAGAAAAGCTGGGCATGGTGGTGGTTCACACCTTTAATCCCAGCACTCAGGAGGCAAAGGCAGGTGGATCTCTGAGTTCAAAGCCCATCTGGTTTACAAAGCGAGTTCCAAGACATCCAGGGCTACACAGAGAAACCTTGTCTCAAAAAACCCAAAAACACTTATTTTAGAAACAGATTGACAATTTCAAAACAGGCTTTTCTACAAAAGAAATCTGGACTTACAAATACATGAGAAATAAATCACAAAAGATTTCAAGAGAACTTCAGAGTCAAGAATTATGCAATGCAGCCTTAGAACTGTTTATTCAAAATCTTCCTATGGGATTGGGAAATATTGATAAAATGCATGCCTAGGATGCATGAAACTCTGGGTTCCAGCCCATCGTTCTTAGAACAGAACAGAGGAAAACAAAGCAAGCCTCCTGTGTCAGAAAGGCTGGGCTTCCTTCAGGAGTCTGGCTCTAACAATACATTCACCTTCTTCAGGTCTGCTGACAGAGGGGATTTCTCCAGGGTCAGACAGGGCTCAATCCTGTTCCGGAGTACCACACCAGGCTGTAGTGTGCCCAACTTCACCTTCTGCAACTAACCAACACAAACATCAGACAACCATAGCCAGGTCTTTCTGGAGTGGGCAGTAGAGTATTAAGGGCTTTTTCCCAAGAGGAAAACACAAGATCATCATGTAAAAAATTAGGAATACATGCTTCCTGGAAAACACATAATCCCCCCACAAATTAAAGATCATCTGTTCCCCCCATATAAAATACCCACTACAGCCATAGCTCTATAGATTCTGCTAAAGCCATGACTTGGGAAAGCCCCATCTAAGGAAGACAAGAGTCTGAGGGAGTAAGGAAGCTTAATAACATTAAGTGTCTGTCTTGTTTGACCTTTCATTTTTAGGGTTTGTAATACCTGCTGCAGGTCAGAGATCTCATCAGCTCTCAAAGGATCAGGGTTTAAAAACTGTAGTAATCTGTAAAGCAGGTAAAAGGTCAATTTGAAGAAGAAAGTCATTACATTTTCCCTGTTTTAACTCTTCCCCGTGGAGAGAAACAGTAGTTGTCCACCCCACGGCTTATCTGTGAAAATACTGTCTTGATGGCCTAAGATTCAAGGGGCATGGAGATCACATCAATTTCCTGTTTCCCACCCAAAACCTGGGCTGGCATCTGGGCTACCACCCCTACCACCAACATCCTGTGCAGTTGTCTGAAAGGGGCCCAGCTAAAGTCAGATCCTCTGGTTTAATCATGAGCTTTGTTTTATAGTCAGAAAATACCAGAGAAGGACTTATCCTCTGCTCATGCAGAGAAGGAATTTCAAAGTGCTTTTCATTATACCCAGACCTATCACTCCTCAATATGGGTAAAGGATAGTGACAGCATCAGAGAAGTCACACTACTTTAAGCTGTAACTAATTGGGTAAAATACCTATCTAAATTTAACATATATGTCTAATTTAAATATAACTAACAGGTAATAGTACCCAATTATCAAGTGCCTTTACAGATCTGAGAGTATGGCATTTAACAAAAGAACTTCTAACACAGAGACCTGCCAGCTCCTGCAGCATCCTATAGCTCCTCCAAGAAGATGCATGGTTGCAAAAGACCTTCTAACTGGAGGCTTGCCTTTGCATATGGCAAAGCTACCCACACAGAAAAAAGCAGCCTTCCACTTCATCAGCTTCCTGGACACTACACCAGGGTATGATTGTCTCATCCTGCCAAGACAGGTAGACAAAATCTCCCCCCATCCCCACAGAAAAATCTTCAGGCCTCCTGGACTCAGCAGCTAACACCAAGTACTGCTTCTAAGGCTGGTGTTCTCCAAAGACTAAAAAGAAACTTGGGATTGCCTGCGTAGCTAAAAAACTGGTGTCTACGAAGGCATTTTGATGCAATCAGCATATTGAACTGCAACTAAATGTAGGTAATTGTGGTAATATTTTTGTTTATGCTCTAACAAATAAAGCTTGCATGAAGATCAGAGTGCAAAGCTAAGCCACTAGTTAGCCACAGAGGCCAGGCAGTGGTGACACACAGTTTTAATCCCAGCACTCAGGAGGCAGAGTGAGATGGATGTCTGTGAATAAGATGAACCATCCACTTTTCGACACCCATACCAGATACCTTAACCAATTATCAAAGTAGTCCTCAGTAATCTAGTCTCAATGTCAAAATATTCTTTAAAAAGAATGCTACAGGGAGCCACTACCAACAAAACTGAGTAGAATCTCATTCCACATATATTCAAGCATGGCAGATGAAGTTGGAAAGAAATTATTCTTTAAGCCTAATTTAAGGTTCTTGGCATCAAGAGACACCCTCAGAGGAACAGAGTGGGTTCTACTCAACACCTAAAAATCCCTAAAAGAGAGCTGTCTATTGTGTTGCAGTTTCTCACAGGCTAAAATGTTCATCTTGGAAGAAAGTTTATTAAGATATAAGAGGTTACAGGGAGTTGAAACAACAGGGAGGAAGCTTCAGGACACAGAATTTTTACAGATAGATGAAATGAAAGGGTGTTCTCTGGGAAGCTGAAACACGCCATCTTTCAGGGACTGTCTTAGGGTTTCATTGCTGTGAAGAGACAAGACCACTATAAGTCTTATAAAGAAGACATTTAATCGTGGTGCTCTCTTACAGTTCAGAAGTTTATTAGGCCACTGCCATCATGGCAGGAAGCAAGTCAGCATGACAGAAATGGTGCTGGAGCTGAGAGTTCTTACATCTTCATCCAAAAGCAATGGGAAGTGAACTGAGTGTCACAGTGAATGAAGTTTGAGCATATGAGACCGCAAAGTCTACCCACTACAGTTATATATTTCTTCCAACAAGGCCACATCTATTCCAATAAAGCCATACTTCCTAATAGTGTAACTCCCTTTGGGGGCCATTTTTCAAACTATATGGACACAATTCAGAAAGTAACAACTCAAAGGCTTTAGGAATTCCTTGAAACTGACCAAATACAGTTGGCTCCCCTCCCCAAGCAGAAATAAGCTAGAAGGATAAAGCAAGAGGTGATGTGAGAGCTACAAATTGCGGAATGCCTTTACTGTGGGGACACAAAAAGAAATGGGATTCAGAGGGAAACACAGACTCACAGAATACTGGACAAGGTGGAAGCCACTGTGTCTCGCTGTTCTGCCCCAGGGAGATATGAACAACTACACAAGCTTGCTTCTGCTACAGCCTCCCATGATTGTGGGCAAGACCCTTCCTCTCCCTTATAAGAGATCACATCTACACACAGAAGTCATGCCGTAAAGCTGGTACCCAAAAAGCTGTTGGCAGAAAGGAGTTCCCACAACACTTCTCCCTTTTGTCTAAATAAAAAGGTTCTAAACCTAACACAAAACTATATACAATAAGAACAAATATCAAGTATTGGCCAGGAGAAAGAAAAGGTAAAAACATACACAAATAGAACTACAGCCAACATGAACAACATCAAGCAAGAAACACACCAAGTGTCCAGTCTACAGGTAATAGGCAAATAACAGATTATTCCAATAGCTGTCCTATCCTGAGGAGTCTAAGTCTTGTACCTGAATATCTTAGCTAATATATAAGAGGATAGTAGCTGTGACTATCTAGTCTTCAACCTCAACAAAGACCCAAGAAGGAAAATTACTGAGTAAGCAGGAAGTACAAGCAAGTAACTTCCAAAAGGTACAAGATAGGACAGAAACAGATCACTGTAATGTTGGGGCAACCAACTTTGGCTAAAGCCTAGAGAATCTTACAAACCACTTTCAGAAAAACCTTCAGCTACATTGGCGTTCAAACGTTTGACAAGAATTTCCACATAAAACCTGAGAGAGCTTTTAAAAAGGTTCTAAAATGGAGCCAAGACCAGCTGTAACCCTGGATGAAGGTTGGCTCCTTCTGGATATATTTATCGAAGCCCTTGCACCTCAGCTCAAGTCCAAGGGCCTCATGAGCAGACAGCTTAGTTGCACTGTTTGGCACTTCTTTGGTTATTTTATGGCTTCTATACAGGGTTTCGTGTCCTAAGAGAAGTGTCTTCTGGAAGCATTTGTAGCCGTGTTCTTCCTTCTTTCAAAAGCAAGTCTGGGTTGATGTAGGCCCAGCCATTCTTGCTTTCAGGATTTTCACCAGCTGCTGGCACTTCTTGAGGACAAGCATTGCCAGAGATTTGCTTAGAACTAGATACCATCCTTGTACTTTTCTTCTTTGAAACAGAAATGTCATTTTGGTCATAAGTTTCTTCTTCCATGAAATCTGCTGTATAATGTGGTCTTTGCAGCATACTTTGTCCCAGACCCGCCAAGCTACCTGCTGCTAAATCCTAACACTGCTGCTGAGATTCAGGTGCCTTAGTGCTCCCACTGGGGGGGGGTCTAAACCACACTGAGAAAACCTATCCCTTTTTTTCCAGTCAACCTGCAACAGATCCACCTTCTGGGCCACAAATCACGTGGCCTTCCATCCATCCATCAGTGGCAATTGGTGAATGATCCTTTGCAGTTATCTTAAATTCTCCCTGAGTCTCTGGTACTCTTGGAGGTACCCACCTCTGACCATTTCCCTTGGGCAAGGCTTGGTTTTTGCCTTCTGGTTTCATTCAAAAGTCCTGGCACCAGGCACCTGTATTTCCTTGGGCTAGCCCTAGCCCCTGAAGCATGTGTTGACAAGCCACTGTTCAGTTTCTCCTTCATTTGTTCCTCCCTAAGTCTTGGGATGCCATGGACTTCAGGCCTTGGACCTCTCCTTCTACCTGTCTTCTGGAGATGCTCCTTACTTTATACCTAGTGTCTGACTTAAGGGTCTCGAAACTTACTTGTCTTGCAGTTGACTCTGGCCTCAATACCCCTTTAGATAAGTAATCCAAATGTGGCCGACTAACAGTACTCTAGATTCCATTATTATCTAGGACCCTTACAAATGCTGCAAGCAATTGAAACAAAAAAAAAAAAAAAAAAAAAAAAAGAATTGCCATTCCCTATTTCTTTTTCCTTTGTTTGAAGCCCTGCTTTGGTCTGGTGTAAAAATCAGGCCATAGTCTTTACTTTCCTAGAGCTACTACTATGTCTAGAGAGTTTACCTTGCTACCAGACTCCAAAAAGAGATAAACTCACAAAACAGACTTCAAAGTAACTTTTTACAATTCCTTTATTTGAAGGAATCTGTTTTACAATGACTGCACTCAGTAATCAACCACCTGTGGCTCATGATGCGAAGTTTCAAGTTTAAGCTGTAAGGATCTGTCTTAGTTAGGGTTTATAAATGCTGTGAAGAGACAGCGTGACCACTGTAATTCTTATACAGAAAAGCATTTCATCGGGGCTGGTTACAGTTTCAGATGTAATTCTGCTGAGAAGCATGGCAGCATGCAGGCAGACGTGATGCTAGAGAAGAAACTGAGAGCTCTACATCTTGATCTGCAGGCAACAGAAGTGAGCATTGTCCTACACTGGGCATTGCTTGGCCATATGAGACTTTAAAGCCCACCCCCACAGTGACACACTTCCTCCAACAAGGCCACACCTCCTAATAGTACTACTCCCTATAGGCCAAGCATTTTTGAGTTCACAGGGCTGGACCTATTCAAACCACTACAGAATCTAAGAAAATGTTTTAAGGTCTAAGAAGTTGTTTTAAGGTGTGTAAATGCAAGTCATATAAGGTCAGAGGACATGAAAGCTTAAGTTATGATAAAGTGATTTAAGGTATATAAAAAGAATGAAAAATGCTTCCAATTTCTTTCCCTCTATATGCCAGCATTGTATTAAGACTTAAGTTTGGTGTTCTAACATTAATCAACGGAGTTCTGATAAGCTGCTCATCTACCTCTGGTAAGTGCCGATGACTATTATCAGTCTCAAGCTCAAGATTTTAAATTTCCTTTGGTTGTCTAAGTATAGACTTAAAAGTGCTTCTCTTTGTGCTAAAAACATCTATAATCTATATAAGTCCAGTCTTCTGAACAGAGAGAAAGGAGGCCCAGCTTTCAAGATCTATGTTCATACTGAAAATCAAGATCAAAAGTGAGCTTTTGCCTTTCTGCTCCACAGGAGGTTTCTGTCCTCTTTAAGCTCATGTTTTTAACAGCAACAAAAAACCCCACATGTATTATTTTTGTAAATGTTTATCTACGAAAGTGCAGAAATCAAAGAACTACTTGAAGCAATCGGTTCTCCCCTTCCATGATACAGGAGCCAGGGACTGAATTCATGATTGCTTGGTGGCAAGCACCTTTATCCACTGAGTCATTCTACCTGCCCTGTTCTGTCATCCTCATAGGTTTAGGGACTCAAGAGCTACAGTTTTTCTTGAATAACCCTTGCTCCAGTTGGGTTTTAGGCCAATAGTTTTGTAATAATCTTGGTTTTGGCTTTTCAAGACAGGGTGTCTCCACAGCTTTCGAGCCTATCCTGGAACTAGCTCTGGTAAACCAGGCTGGCCTCAAAACTCAGAGATCTGCCTGCTTCTGCTTCCCAAGTGCTGGGATTAAAGCCATGTGCCACCACCACCCGGCTGCAATAATCTTTGTAAGCCTGGCCTGACTTCCTGCAGTGATGGACTATAATGTGGAAGAGTAAGAAGCCAAACAGATCCTTTCCTCCCCAACTTGCTTTTGGCCATGGTGTTTCATCAGAGCAACAGAAGGCCTGACTAGGACACCAACTTTCTTCAGCTCTTTTGCCTGCAGACTCTCTGGAATGCACAGCTGACAAGTCACCCAAGTCACCACTGTACTTCCTACCAATCAGGACTAAGCAAAGAGCACTGAGCAAGATAGTAGGGAAGACAAGGCTTTACGATAGAGGCATGAAGGAGAATAGAGTTTGTCAGAGCTCACTCAATTATCAGCTCAAACTAAATTACAATTTCTAAAAAGTTACTTGTCCCAAGGAAAACAGTCACTTAGAGCAGTAAAAACATGAGGCATGAGGCAGGAGAGATTCTCTGGGAGGGAATATTAACCACAAGCCCCACTGTGAACCCCACACCAGCCTTCAAACACACTTGATTCCTGAACACTGAGGTGCTTGTGCTAGTCAGAGGCCATACATGCATGGGTGACTCTGGAAGGTGTCAGAGGCTATCACTGCTAACAACAGAGACAGCATGGGCACCATGCTGAGCTGTTGTCTAATTACAGAGCAGCCAGGTTCTCACAGGTAAACTGTTTCAGCTAGGAGTCTAGGGAAAAAGTCAGAAGCATGGTCTCAGTTTTGTGTATTTAACAAGCATCAAATGAGGTTACTGTTGTTAGAGAACAGGAGGTGGTCCCAATCAACATCAGAAAACCAGGAAGGAATCAAACATCACCCCACCAAAATCAATGGCCATAAAAGTATAAAACTGTACCTAACAGTTTAAAAACTGTCCACCTGGCTGAAGGAACCAGGGTGAGAATGACCCCTTACAACAGAACCAAGATTTAACACACCCCTACCCTGACACAGCTAGGGGACTTCCTGCATATTTACTGTTTTATGAGAATGGAAGTTTGAAGTAAAAATGGAGGTATATTCTTCCTGCTTCTATACCATTATTTCAAAAACCAATTCAAGTCAGAGGAAAACTAAACCAAACCAATTCCAGCCAAGCGAGCGAGTGAGCTGGGCCTTACTTCACACAGCCATTCTTCTCATCACAGTCTTTCTTCTCCGTCAACCGCAGCAGCTTCTCATTTGGTTTCTGGCTAAACCCACTGGAAACCAAAACACATGAAAAGATTAATTCACAAGTTAATAGAGGCAACTGTCACTGCTATTGGATGTCCACTAGAGCCGAGATAAGACTCTGCTGCTGAGGAAACTACAGGTCTCACTTGCAAGACACAGAAACTGTTGGGGTCAGGGTCCTGTCCTTGTCTTTGTGTCCCACACACCCACTCCATGAAGCTTCCTGACAGCTGGCCTTTAGCACAAAACAAAACAAAACAAAACAAAACAAAACAAAACAAAAAAAACCCCACCCAAACTAGGCAGAGTGCAATTCTTGGTGGAACAAAGCAACCCGAAAGGAGCAGGCAGCCTGCAAAGACTGCTGTGGGAACCAGGAATGAATAGCAATTTCTTTACTAGTTTCCCGATCCCTGCAAAGGCAGAGTACCTGACTGTGGACTTTTGCAAATATTGTTGTGGGCTCAGACTTCTTCTCCCTCCCTCTACCAGGTTTAGCATCTCTTTCCTGATGGTCCGATTTCTCATCTCCCACATCCAATCAAGACCCAGAAGGTAGTTATATAAATTTAGTGTGCTGGGGTTTTGAAACCAGAGCAGCTGTAGGAGCTTAAAGAGGGAGAGGACAAGACCCTAGGGTCCAACCCCTGGGACTCCTTTTCCCTTAAGAGTAAGAAACCTGCAGACTTCAGAGTCCAACTCCCAGCTGGTTCACCCATCAGTCTGTCTTTCAGACTTGCCAAGGACAAACTAAGGCTTCCACACTATGCCCACTCAGCAAGTTTCCAGGCATAGGGATTCATTCCTGTCTTGGAGTGCCTCCAGCACTCATGGTATGGTACTATGCTGTGGCAGGGAATTCCTCCATGAAGCTTCTTCCACCTTCCAAGACCCACTGTTCCAGATTCCAGCCACTCCAACTTGCAGACCTGCAGCTTCAGAGGTCCCTGACTAAGACCTGCTGGAGACACAAGACTGGTCCTCCTGCTACTCCCGACCCACAGACCTGCTCTGCCAAGGGACAGCTCTCAGCTGGTAGGTATTCCAAGGCTCTCCGAGAACCCCAGAGTTGAAATACTTGTCTAAACTGCAGTGGCTCTCAGCTAGCACCTGCCTGCTACTGAGAGTTTCAACGTTTCATTTAAATTTTAAGTTGTTTTATCCCGTTTAAGGAAGTTAATCTTGAATTGACAAAGTGCCTCCCTATTTGTATTCTTCATAGTTTGCCTACTCCATTCTTGGAGGATTACCTGACAAGAACCCACTTAGAGACAGAAGAACAGTTTCCACTGGTTACTTCAAAGCAAAGCTAGGACTGGGGTGGGAACTTTTATTCAAATTTGTTCAAACCACACAGATAGCTCTTTTCTGGGGGAATTCTAAGCAGCAGCAGTAAGGAAGCACTTAATCTCCCTAGATGCATTTCTGTGAGGACAGAGGCTTAGCACTAACTATGGAACCTTGCCTGGTGCTGGTCACACAGCCTCTCTGCTGCTGAAACTGGTTTAGTTCTACAATTAGAAACTGGTCGGGGACCAAAGCAATCATGGAGTAAGTAACGACATGGAAACAAACAGAATTCTGGAGACTGCCTTATTGTTCCCTTCCTCGATCAAGCTGAGGTCACCCTGGATGCTGAACTGCACAGCAAATGTAGTGGTCAAGACTGCCCTGCCAAGGCAGACAGGAGGCAGGGTCCCCGTGCCCAAGCATGGGCACTTCTACTTGTTTTCTTTTTGTCTCTGTTCTCTTCTGGTCCTACCCCAGGCCACATTCAATCTTGGTAACTCCAACACTGCAGCTATCAGCAGTGTCCTAAGTCACAAAAGAAAACCCATCAACTGAGCTCAGGAGTCCCTGGCTGAGCACAAGCACGCCAGTCCCAGAGCCACTCACCAACATCCTACAAAGACTTGGCACTGCAGCCAGCCACAGAAAGTGAGACCCTTTCCTGTAATGTCACTGATATTACCGTGTGCATCTTAAGGAGGACAGGTTACAGCTGGACACTTGGGAGAAGACAAGTAGCCACACTTGGCTTTCTCCAGATTTGTAACCTGCAATGCTATGCTGCTGTGACCCACACTTGCTCATCCTCCACACAGCCACTCTGTGCTGTTCACTGGAGGTGCCTTATAGATACAACAGTGTGCAACCAGGCAACAAAGGGATTCTAGACCTACTGCCAGTTTTCAGTCCACTCTGTTGCTAGCTAATCAACTGTAAAAAGATATTTTTTCCTTTAAAGTAGTAAGTATATTTTGAGCCAAAATTGCCCAGACCACCTTCTTTTTTGGGGGGTGTGGTATGTCTATCATCAACCTTTTACATACTTACTGTACATGTGACCTTCTGTATTTGTGGACTTACAGTTGTGCAATCAACCAGCCAACCAACAACTGGAAATATTTGGCAAAAACAACTGCCTGCATTAAACATAGATTTTTTTCCTTGACATTATTCCCCAAACAATACAGAATAACAACGACTTATATAGTATTTACATTGCATTGGGGAGGTATTAGAAGCCATCTAGAGATGACTTAAAATATACATGAAAATGTGTGATAGTTACATATAACCATCATGCCACTTTTTAAAAATCTGGATTTGAGCACACACTGTTTGATATTCTCAGTAGTCCTAAAACTGAGCCCCCCAAGGCTAACATGTTGACTATGTACTATCCTAAGGCTCTAGTTTGCTAAACTGAATTTTCAAAACATACCTTGCTGCTGGAATATCTGGATCAGCATATATGGTTATGCTTCTTTTTGTTGGCCAGTATGCTGAAGATTCAATACACTGTAAGAATGGAAGGAAGGGGAGGCGGGAGGCGCAGATGATTTATATTTTTGGAATCAAAATATAACGGAAATTATTTTCATCACAACCATTCCAGAGTTTCTATGCACGCGAGTGAACATACATACACGGAGAATCAAAGTTGGATGGTTATGCCATCACTATAATCATTAGATCAAAATGTCAGACAGCAGGTAATTGGCATTCACACGAGTGTTTAAAGTATCTTACAATCACTTTTATTTGTCAAAAGAATTGAAAGGCACATTAGAAGTGAAATTATGTGAATGTTCCCCAAATCTAGACAGCCACACATCTGTGTTCAAGGAGCAGAACACCACCTTTTCGAGAGCAGTTACAACTCAGCAGAAACAGAAGCTCAACAAGGGGGAGCAGCTACCTTGTTCCATCAAACACTCTCACAACTACATTCTTTATGAATTTCTACGTAGGAAACACACTTTTTGTTCATAATAGAATATTCATGTCATATGAACTTTATATTCAGTGAACATCAAACATACAACCTCGTTCATGTGTTTTAAAGTGGGGCATTGCTGCTTCTTCTCAAACAGAACTTTAGGTGAGTCTCTCAAGGAATCCTTGTATTTTATAGCTTTATCTGCAAAATGAAGATAAAAGCTACCTTATAAACTATATAAAATCAGACAAAAATAACAGAAACCAAACACTTATAAAATCACAACACATGAATTACTATCAAACAGGTTTGCTTATATTAAACTTGTAGGGATTAAAATTAAAAATCTGCTTTGGGACTGACAGGACAGCTCAACAGGTAAAGGCACTTGCTGCCAAGCCTGCGACCTGCGTTTGGTCCCCAGGTCCTACATGCAGGGAGGATGGTCTCTGTCCTCCACGGCACTCCATGGCATAGTATACCCATTCACACGCACTTACAGCTAAATAAAAACAATCCAAACATTTTTGCTGCGTCAATCTTTTCTTAAAGGTTGTAGAAATCCACAGACCAGCTTACTAAGAATAAAGTAATTTTCCCAATTTGGTAGACTGTACTTTCCAAAGGAGGCCACAATTATGTATCCAATACACATGCTCTTCCTACAATGTATAGGACAATGCCACCCTACCCAGAAAAAAAAAAAGAAAGGAAGGAAGGAAGGCAAACTGAGCTCAAATTTCCAAGCCAGCTATTTGGGAATTTAAAAAAAAAAAAAAAAAGCAGCTGCCCTTGACCCCTTGATCCCAAACTCCTGGAGATTGCAGAAGCAATCAGCCAGCTGTCTGTAGAGAGACAACAGACCCTGCAGTTTCAAACACAGCTGTCTAAGGAAAACAGCTAACTGCCCATTCTGCCCCTAATAAAACCCCTTCCCCTTTCCTATCCTTAGCTACAGAAGCCCCAGCTTGAAACCTATACTCTGTATAAGGTAGAAGAGCCAGTCAAGGAAAACTGACAATCCCTGAGCAGGAAACCAACCAATCCCTGAGCACCCTGACTTTGAACCCAGAGCTAGTGAATGAAATATGCCCAGAATCTGAAACCTGAGTCAGTGAAAGAAACACTTTATCTCTGAACCCAGAACCAAAGAAACACACTGACTCTGAAACCAGTGTCAAACACACTTTGTCCCTAGAATCAGAGCCAATGAAAGAAATATGCTCTGGTCCTAAAATTAGAGCCAAAAGGTTAAAAAGGACCAGTGAAAGAAACACAGTTTGGCCCTGAAGTCAGAGTGATCTCTGACCCTGACCAACTAAACTAACCAATCCCTGAGCAGGAAAACTCCCTGGGAAAACTCCAAGCCTAGTAAGACCTATATAAGCCCCTCTGCCTGTTCAGTTGTGGGCTGTCCTTTCCCACCCTGGCAAGAGGCAGCCACTCTCCTTCCAGAATAAATCTCTTTCTCAAAAGAGTCTTGGGTGAAGATCTTCATTTGCCAGTGTAGAATAGAAGAACCTTGCTGGGATGTCCCTAGGTGGCTGAGCAGAAAAACCTTGCTGAGATGTTCTCTTAGGGGGCCCGAGCAAGATTGAGCAGAACAGAAGAACTTTACTGAGATAGATGGTCCCGTATAAGTGCAAGGCTGAGCAGAAAAAAGTAATAACTTTTCCCCAAGTTGGAGGATATTGCTACATTTCTGCAAGGGCTTCCCCTTTAGCCAAGTGTAGCCAAAGTAATAACAACTTTGGCCCCAGAAGTTGGCCCTAGAAGGCTAGGACGTTTCCTTAGGGGAAAAGAGCAGAGCTCAGCTGTAGCAGCTCTCTATAGGAGCAGGACTGCTACATCCTGTGAGGGGTTCATCCCCCATCATACCCCAGTTTCAGGTAGCCTGGCTTCCCCACAAGTCAGGACACCTTTCCCTCCCAGGATGAGCTGTCCTATTGTGGCTCTAGGTATAGCCTGGCTTCCCGATAACTAGGAAAGCCTTATTGGGAGCTGTAATACACTTGCTTATACTCTGCATTGTCAGTGTGCAGGATCTGAGATACCATCTCTCAGGTTAATTAAAGCTTCTCCTCTAGCTATTGACGTTACCTAAACGCTTGTCTTTTATTTCTTTTTATAAATTTAATTCTTATGCAATGTAACTGGCTCTCACTAAGAGACAGAATCTATATTCCCATCCCACAGACTGGCATAGAAAATTCCAAAGTGGAAAAGAAAACAGAAGAAAAAAAAACTGTTTAAACAGAAATATCCAAGAACTATTTGTATCAGTTTGAGTGAGTTGCTTAAACAGAAATTTATTTTCTTTTATTTCTGGAGGCTGCAAGTCCAAGATCAAAGTGTTGGCCAATTTGAATCCTAGGGTGATGTCTTCCTGGTGGGCAAGTGCTAGAGAAGTCAGCTCTGTTTTGTTTTTTTTTTTTTTTTTGTTTTGTTTTGTTTTTTCCTCTTCTAAGGGCTCTTTTAAGTCTATCAGAGTCCAATCCTACCCTTATAGCATCACAGAACTTCTCATGAAGACCCTGCCTACAGACACAGCCACACTGAGGGCAGGCCTGCAGCATATGAGTTCTGAGGACACAGAATTCAACGCACAACACAGTTTCTGAAAAGAGGAACAAAATTACTAAGACTCTTAACCAAGGGAGTGAAGGAAGGGAGATTAAGAAAGAATCAGGGAAAGAAGGAAGAGAAAGCAGGGCCATGCCTATTGATTCATGGACATCTAGAAGCTAACAAAGGATAGTTCATGTGTTTATGAGCATATCAAGAAATGTAAAGATAGTGAAATGAAAACTCTACGCTTACAATTTGATCATCTTAATCAGTGGTTCTCAACCTTCCTAATGCTGTGATCCTTTAATACAGTTCCTCATGTTGTGCTGACCCCAACCATAAAATTATTTCACTACTACTTCATAACTGTAATTTTGCAACTGTTATGAATTGTAATTTAAACATCTGATATGCAGGATATATGATATGTGACCCCTGTGAAAGGGTCTCGACTCCCAAAGTGGTAGGGACCCACAGATTGAGAATCACTAATCTAGATGAAGATTCCTTAAAAGACATACTTTTCCAAAACTCCCAAATAAAACAGAAATAGGGAATAAGGATAGTATGTCTTGAAGAAATTGAATTATTAGGAATGTTCCAAAAAAGAGTACTAAATTGAGGTGGGTTCACTGAAGAATTCTATCAAGCATATCAGGAAGAAATGTCACTAACCCACAAGCTCTTTTAGAAGACAGAAGCAAAACAAGCACTTCCCAGCACATCCTACAAGACCTTCACTGTGCTGATGCCTCAACCAGAAAGCATTTCAAGAGAATGAAGGCCCATTATGTCTTACGAACACAGATGTAAAATCCTTTCAAAACATTGACAAATCAAAAACTATATTATAGATGTCATTAAATAATATGAAAACAAGCCACACACTAGAAGAAAATAACTGCAAAAGATACATCTGGTAAAAGACTATTACCAAAGTAGATGAAGAACACTTACGGCCCAAAACAAAGAACCTACGTGAACTAGACAAAGATGGGCTGAGGTTATAAAACTCGGTGGCAGAGCACAGTGAGGCCTGGGCTCACTCTCCAGGGCACTCAGAGGATGATTCTGTGCTGCCTAAGAAAGAAACCAAACTGGTAGGACTCACCTGGTGCTGCAGCAGGTGGCCCTAGGTCACTGACAACATTCTTACACCATGTATGCCGGAGAGACTGTGACAGAAAATCTAAGCCCTGTGAGTCTGAAAGAACATACTATATTTCAAAACTAAAACATGAAATAAAAATGAGTCCTTATTATTTACTTCTGCTCTTGCTCATGCAGTAAAATTATAGGAGACCTAGCAAGGGATGGTAGTCTGAGGAATTAAAATCTAATGCAGAGAGGAGCATTTAAAACTGCATCCACGAACCACACTAAGCATCATTTGTAATAAAAACTCTCTGAAATGTCTGAAAACTATTCAGAACCTCACTTTGCTGAGATCTTTAAACCACATACTTTCTAGACTTCTGAAAATGTAGCCCAACATTAACAGAACCGTCAGAATTTCCTGGTCTCCTAAATACAAACAGTAGCAGCTCCAGGACCACAATGCCTGTCAGAGGCTAAGTAGTAAAATCTGATTATTAAACTGAGTCTAAGTCTGTCTCCAAGTAGGAAAGGGCTTAGACAGAAATTGGTATGCTAAGGAAAAGTAACATGAAATACTCACTTTCCATTCCACGATGGTCTTTCCGTTGCAAAAGCATTGGCCACAGAGTAAGTGATGGGCTAAGCTTACTGGAGCAGGGCACCGAATTGAGACTGGGTCTGGGCTTCTCCAATGTATTGAGGTTTTTATTCCCCGTGGGTGACACATAATAAGCAAAGTTCTTTGCGACAAGATCATCATTTACACAAACCTATAAAAATGTAAATATTCCATGAATTACCATTCGAATGGGTGTAGTCAATGTACATAAAGTTAGTATTTCAGACTCAGCTCCAAATTCCTGAAAAATGTTTTATGGAGCATAATCTGACAGAAACAGCTCTTGGTTTCTGCTATGTTAGCTATGACCTAATGATTTTCACGAGAAAATCGGAAGAAGTTGCATGAGATCAAGATGTACTGTGGAGGAAGAGCGAGCTAACGCTGTCTGGCCAGGTAGAGATTTGGTGGGAGGACACTAAGCACACAAGGGGAAACTGAAAAACTAGATCCTATCAAAACTTAATGCTTAGCCTGGTAGTGCTGGTGCAGACCTTTGAGCCCATACCTGAGAGGCTGAAGCAGGCCTGTTCTACAGAGATAGTTCCAGGACACCTGGCTACAAAGAGAAACCCTTCTCAAAAACAAACAAAACAAAAACCAAATAGACAAACGAACAAAAATATTGCATTAATAAGCTCTCACACAGTCGCACAGAGGAAGAGTCTTTATGAGGGACAGGGGACTGAGAGATGCAGGGACACAGATGTGTCGTGAATTACTGCACCTGAGTGAAAGGACAGATCACTGCTCCCTTTGGAACCCGAGACGCGTTTGCAGGCTCACATCTCTCTGAGCAGCTGTGACTATGTGCATCTAATAAACACCCTCTCTCTGCTATGGATGGACCCCTTGCTATCACCTCACTTCATCACTTAAAGTCAACTATCAGACTACAACACATGGTACAAAAGAAGGGCCTGCTCTTTAAAAGCAAGAAGAAAGCAAGTTAATAGAAGTGTTTGTGTTGAGACAAGGTTTCTCTGTGTAGCCTCAGCTGTCCTGGAACTCACTCTCCAGACCAGCCTGGCCTCCAACTCAGAGAACCGCCTGCCTCTGCCTCCCATTAAAGGTGGGATTAAAGGTATGTGCCACCACTGTCGGGCTAGAGAATGTCTTCTAAAAATGTATTATGAGACTGATGTTAATATTTAGGCATCTGTACTGGCCTGCCCTTGGGGTCCTGACAGGATAAGTCCTCAGCTGTAGCCACTAAGAGCACCTCCTATGCACATTCACTATGCTCCCTTTTAAAAGTGGGCCTTGCTCACCTCCTGTTTCTCTCTTTCTACCCTCCCCCTCCAGCACCCTTTTCTGCCCCTTCTCTCCCCTCTTCCAATAAACCTCCTATGTGAGCCCTGTTGTACGGCATGACTTCTCTTTGCATAGATTTTTAAATTAAAACAACTGGTCACATTAGTAAACAAAAACCTAGGAGAAACCCTAACAAGGGAGACGAAAGATCTTCATAATGAAAACTATTAAGACACTGATGAAACAATTTCAGCTGGCTGTGGCAGCACACGCCTTTAATTCCAGCACTCTGGAGGCAGAGGCAGGCAGCAGGTCTCTGTCTAACCTACATAGTGAGTTCCAGAACAGCCAGGATATAGTGAAACCCTGTTTTGAACAAACAGACTGCAAAGCAATAGGGTAAAACAACACTGACTTCTGGCCTCCATATACATATTCATGAACAAGCACGATGAACACACACACGCTAAATAAAGAACTAAAAATGCTGTCTAAAAAAATGATTAGGTCAATTTTGTTTGTTTGCTTTTTCCAACACAGGGTTACTCTGTATTGCCCTGTCTTGGAATTTACTCTGTAGACCAGGCAAGCCTTGAACTCAGATCTCCCTGCCTCTGCTTCTAGAGTGCTGGGATTAAAAGCATATGCCACCACTACCAGGCTTTAGGTCAATGTTTTTAATAATCAGAAGAGGCTAGGAATGCAGCTGAAAGGTAGATGATTATTAGCCCCTGCATGGCCCCCAGGTGTTTGTCTCTCACTAGTGCATATACAAAGACATAGGATGAATGACTGAAGGAATAGTCCTACCAGTTTCTTTTCTAAGATAGACCTTCAAAGGTTAAAACAACTCCCACTGTGCTATTTAAAGTTTTAAATAAGGATAAACATTTTCAAAATACAAATCTTGCCAGCTATGATGGCTCCATGCCTGTAATACCCAGCACTTGGGGGTAGAGGCAAAAATTAAGAGTATAAAGTCATCCAGTGCTTGGGTGACCAAAAACCTGACACTAGATAGCCTGTAAAACCAAATGCTAGTGTTCTTTTAAAAAACTGCAACAACATGACTCTAATGATATTCTGCTTTACTCATAGTGCCTTGCTCAACCACCATCTGAGAAGCTTCCTCCTGCTGGAGAGGAAACGAATACACTGACTCAGGCTAGCTACTCTGCAGAAGAGTGAGGATAGACCTTGGAACACTCTGCCCTAAATGGGCCAACTAACAAACCTCTCCCCTTAGGGCACCCTGACGAAAGAAGGCAGAAAGAGTATAAGGAGCCAGAGGGGATGGAAGGCACCAAGAAAACAAGGCCCTCTAAATCAATATAAGCAAAACTCATGAGCTAAGGCAGCATGCACAGGGCCTGCATAGGTCTGTACCAGGTCCTTTGCATATATATTATTACTTCTAGTTTAAGGTTTTTGGGATTCCTGAGCGTGGGAACAAGTGAGTCTGTTTCATGTGCCTTTTCTTGGGCTCTTTCCCTTCTGTTTGTTTTGTCCAATTCCAATGGTTAAAATAACAAAGAATTAAGATCATCCTCAGCAACAATGAAAGTTCAAGAGTTCAAGGCTAGCTTGGGTTATATATGACTATCTCAAAAAACTAAAACCAGAAAGCAACCCTGTCCTCCCCAAATTTTTTACTTACTTTTTCATTTTTTATTGTTGCATAAAGGTAAACCTCAAAGGTATCTTCTTCCACAGCACAAAGTTTTGCTTCCACTTGGGTAGTTTCTAAATGGCAATAAATGGACATACAAATGAGCTGACATTAAGTATTTTTTAAGGCAAGCACAGCCTCATTAGGTAACCACTAACATGCTTTTCACAGGCACGTAGATTTCTGAACAGTCCTAAAAGGTAGGCACAGCACAGGATGCTGACATGAGTTAGGACAGATATTACAACATTAACAGTGTCAGAGCACAGTCAAAAGAATGACCCATGGTGGACGATGCCTTGGGGAACTGGGAGAGGTGCCAGGGAAAGGGGCAGAGCCTTTTACCTCAGGTGCATCTGTTCCCTGTACTGTTCTGAGACAAACATTCACATTCAATTTATAAGACATTTTGTTGGATGTCAGAACATAGCTATAGAACCCCATCTGGTCAGTGTATCCTAAATCTGGATATGGCTTTCAGCTTGCTTTTTTTTTTTTTTTCAGCTTGCTTTTGTGCTTTCCCAGGTACAATCTATGGTATGTGCCAGGCAACTGTGTTTAAATTGGTCTGTGCTGAGGAAGTTCTGGGAAAAGGGCTGCTCTGTTAAAATTCAGTATGTGTTCACTGGAGATTATCTACATGCTTTTCTGATTATGTTTTTCTGAGCAGAAATCTTCCTTGGGTTACTGGTTTCTTTGCTACATTCGTGTATAAAATGTATACTGAAACTGAAGTAAAGGTGTTTATAGCATTAGACTGTAGTCCACCCCATTCTTTAAGGTCTTCAAATTCCAGGTTTTGCTGACAGATCTGCAAAGGTCAGCAGACGTCGACAAACATGCCTTAAGTTAGCAACAATAATCGTTAAACAAAAGTACACTTATCCCTTGCTCAGTGAAAGAAGCCGGGCTTTTCATAACTGCTGGATCAAGAAAATATACACACATTCACTTTGTATGCCCTCAGCATTTAAAAGCACTCTTGAGAGGCAGAGACTGTTACTTTGGGAGGGGTCCTCTACACAACCAGCCAATTTGTTTTCGTTTTTGTTTTAATTTCAACTGACAATTACTGACATCCAAATCCACCTGTAAAATTGCAGGGGCATAACCAATGTGATATCTGGTACGGAAGGTGCTCCAAGTAACTTCAGGAGCACCATGAAGGGGCCACATCCATGCATGTGGATCTCAGACATCTGGCAACAGAAGTGTAAGCTACCACATCTATCAACTCAAAGCAGTGTGTAAAGACCCCTGGCCTTACCTCTTAGAATGTTCTGAAAGTACTGGATGGCTGCACTGTCCCATTTTGTGGCAGGTCTGGAACAGCAAACAGGTGTGATTTCATTAAGTAAAAAGCCTATGCTAATATACCACTGCCGTTTATTAGCTGAATGATGGTGTTTCCCACACTATCAAGTATACAAGGAGCTTATGCCAGTTCTGCTTCAGGGTATAGACTCCAGATATGTATGACAATGCCATCTTCACAGCTCTGCTGAGATGACACTCCCCCTATTCCAATGTATGGCACCTCCTATCACACCACTGTCCCAAGTTACCTGCAACAAACCCATTTCCCCAAACACAGTCCAAGTTCTTTGGCGAGAGAACCAAGTGTGCACCACCCATCACTGGCTGCCATAGAGAATGGCACAACACACTGACCAACCAACCCCAGAGTCAGCCCTGGAAAAGTCAGCTACACTCTCTGGGTGGCCCTCACTCCAAGGCTCTAGTTCCCTGGCCCCAGTTGGTTTTCATCTCCACCAGCTTGCTCAGTCTTCATCTTTAGTATATTTCACAAAGAATGCTGGAGAAAAAGATATAGGCACTGCAAAAGATGAACAAAGGGGGGCTTAGAAAGAACAAAAAAGCTCATTCCTGTTAGGTCCAGAGGAAACTCCAGTTTCCCAAACTCCAAAAGGCAGTCCAAATATACAAAAATGGGCCCAACCCGGACTGGAGGAGGATTTCTGGTGGTTAGATAAAAGCTAGCATTCCTTAGGAACTTGTGATGCTGGTTACCCCTACCAAAAGGAGTCATTTCCCTTACAGCTGGTGGAAAGGACTTCTGGTAACTTGTGGTGCCTATTAGCATATCAGAGCTCATGCTGGCCTCAAGGCTCCCTCACTAACAAGTACCTGTCACACATGTCAAAGTTCACCATCCAGCCGGGTGATAGCAGCACACCCCTTTAATCCCAGCACTGGGGAGGCAGATGTAGGTGGATCTCTGTGAGTTCGAGACCAGTCTGGGTTACAACAGCTAGTTCCAGGATAGCTAGGGCTGTTACACAGAGAAACCAAAAAACCAAAATCCAAACAAAAAACCCAAAGTTCACCATCCTAGCCCTTCCCACCTTCTCCCCCACCCTAAACTCCCTCCACCGTGCTCGCACTCTCTCTCTCTCTCTCTCTCTCTCTCTCTCTCTCTCTCTCTCTCTCTCTCTCTCTCTCACACACACACACACACACACACACCACCCCTTAACTATGCCACTACCACCTTTCCCACTCCTACTTCTCGCTGGTTTTCTCTATTTTCTATTCCCTGCTCTTCTCTCCTCTCTTATAGACAAGCCCCAGTCTTGAGGAGTGACCAGTCAGCCTAGGAAAACTGATGAAATCTGTTCTGTGCTGTGGTCTCTTAGTAGCACACCTTAGCCCCAACCTGCCAAGATATGCCCCCCCTTCCTGGATCCTAACCTACGACACGTGTGGAAGGTCAAGTCAAGGTCAGCTATCTTTCCTTGACCACTCTCCATCTTTTTTGGAAATTATCTCCACAAAACAGAAAACAAAACTGTGTGCGCGCACACACACACCACAAACACTAGATTAGCTGGGTGGTGATGGAGCACTCAAGAGGCAGAGGCAGGTGGATCTCTGAGTTTGAGGCCAACCTGGTCTACAGACTGAGTTCCAGGACAGTCAGAATTGTTACACAGAAAACCCTGTCTTGAAAAAAAAATAATAATAGGAATAGGCCAGGCAGTGGTGGTGCACACCTTTAAGCCCAGCACTTGGAAGGCAGAGACAGTAGGATGATCTCTTGTGAGTTCAAAGCCAGTCTACAGAGTGAATTCCAAGACAGCCATGACTACACAGGCAAACCCTGACTTGCAAAATAAATAAATAAATGGAATAGAGGAAGGAGAAGAAACCAATGCCATAGGCTCAGAAAATACTTTCAACACAAAATAAAATTTTCCTAACCTAAAGGAGATGTGTACAAGAAGCATATGGACTGGACCAGAAAATGAAGTCCCCTTGATACATAATAATCAAAACACTAAATGTACACAACAAAGAAAGAATATTAAAAGCGGCAGGGGAAAAAGACCAAGCAACATATAAATGTAGAACTCTTGGAATTATACTCGATTTCTCAATGGAAACTCTAAAAGCAAGAATGGCCTGGACAGATGTGCTACAGACTCTAAGAGATCACAGATGCCAAGCAAGACTTCTATATCCAGCAAACTTTCATTCACAATAAATGGAGAAAATAAGATATTCCAAAAGCACATCACAATTCTTAACAGCTATGCACCAAACACAAGGGCACCCAAATTTGTAAAAGAAACAGAACCACAGCTAAAGTCATAATGATCCTCACATAGTGACAGTGGGTGACTTCAGTCCCTCACTCACCAACAGACAAGTCATCCAGACAGAAACTAAACTAATAAGTTTATAAACCAAATGGACTTAACAGATATTTACAGAACATTTCACCCAAACACAAGAGAATATACCTTCTTCTAAGTACCCCATGATTTCTCCAAAACTGACCACATAGTTGGACACAAAGTCAGTCCTAACAGATACAAGAAAACTGAAATAATACCTCACATCCTACACAAATTAAATCTGGACATCAATAACAGAAACAGAAAGCTCACAAACTCATAGAAAACAACCACTGGATTAAAAATGGGTCAAGAAAGAAATAAAGTGCTTCCTAGAATTGAATAACTCAAACTTAGGGAACACAATGAAGGCGGTTGTAAGAGGCAACGCATAGTGGGGACTCACCCCACCCATGACCTTGGGCTATCTGGCCAACAGAGGCAGAGCTTCTTGCCTTTAAAAAAAGGGGAGGCAGCTCTTGCTCACTCCTGTGGTGGTTGTAGAGTCATCCCAAAACAGAAGGGAAGATCTCAGCGGCGCTCTACCTGTTATTTGTGTTTCCTAATAATTCTTTGATATCTGTGCTGAGCCCAAGAGTATTATACAATAAGTGTACAGCTAACAGATCTATTAGACAAATCCACAGAAATATGATCTTGTGGAGAACCTGTTTTGCAGAGCTGGGGGGAACACCTGTCTTTTGGATGTCACTGTCAATTCTGTAGAAGTCTTGTGAGGTCATGACGTTTCTCCCGTCTATAGTATTCCAGCAGTGTATAAACCTGACTTTTCCTGGAAACCTTCCCCACACCATGAAGCCTTGGTGTGGAAGCATCCACTCAAACCTTTGTTCTCATAACAAATCTGCATAAAACATGTCCCCCACAACTATCTTTATTGACAGGACTTACTGACAAGAAAGGAGCTCCAAGCAGGAGGCACTGAGCAGAGACAGCATGTTTGCTCCTACTGATAAACAGGTCTGGGTGGCCCTGAATTCTCTAGTAGCAGCCTCAGGAAGGTGTATATCTACCAGCCTTTGCTCTAACCTAACAAGCTATTAATTCTCTGTATTTTGCCCTGTTTGCTGCATCTTGGGCTCCATATTGGGAGAACGTGGTTGAGGTGTGCAGCTTGGGCATGGTGAGTTATGCGCAGCTGTCAAACAAGGAAGACTGCCAGGCCATGAATGCAGTGACCTATGATGATGTGCATGTGAACTTCACTCCAGAAGAGTGGGCTTTGCTGGACCCTTCGCAGAAGAAGCTCTACAACAATGCGATGCTGCAGACCATCAAGAACCTCACTGCCATTGGCTACAATTGGGAAGGTCATGATATTGAAGAGTATTCTCAAAGTTCTAGAAGATGTGGAAGTCCTCTTTAGAGGCATGAGAGAATTCACATGGAAGAGAAGCCCTGTAAAAATATCCAAGATGATGAACCCATTGGATATCACAGTCAACTGCAAATATATGAAAGCACACACATTGGAGAGGAAACTTATGAATATAGTTGGTATGGTGAAGATTTTACACAATCCTGTCATCAAAGGTAAAGAACACACACTGGAAAGAAACCCTATGAATGCAATCAGTGTGGTAAAGCCTTTTAATATCAGCATCTTCTCCAAATAAATAAAAGAACACACATAGGAGAGAAAAATTATCAATGCAATCAATGTGATAAAGCCTTTATCTAAGGCATAAAAGAACACATAGCAGAGAGAAACCCTGTGAATGAAATCAGTGTAGTAACGCCTTTCACAGTAGTCTTCAAAAATACAAAGGAACACATAGAGGAAAGAAACCCTATGAATGTAACTAATGTTGAAAATCCTTTGCATGTATCAGAAGTCTTCAAATTCATGAGAAAATATACTGTACAGACACCTTATAATCAGGTGGTAATTTTTTTATTTTATGGTAGTTTTTCTATAAGAATAAGCTTTTAGTGCACAATTGGTTACAGCCTTTTCATATTACAGTAGTCTTTGAGGAAGTGCAAAACACTGAAAAGATTCTAACTATAAAGAATTTGGCAACATCTTCAGTGAACATACATTAAGTTACACGAGTATTGATTATGGAGAAGAAATGCTGCCAAGCAATTTGTCCATAGATTATAGTGTCCTTTACTTTGTTTGCACCTGCAAACTCATATGAAGGAAGGCCCTACAAATTTAAATAATGATGGAACCCTGTGAGATTTCACACTGCTCTTCAATTACATTAAATATCTAATCCAGCTGTAAAAGTTTATGGATGTGAATTTGTGTCATTTGTTGTTGTGATATAACATGTTTTAATGACGTTAATGTGAAAAGACTTAACACTAGAGAATCTGAGAAACAGTAAATACCTCATATGTATATTCAAAGCATGATTTTCTTTGGTTGATATGTAATAAATAGAATAACCAGCAATCAACTCTATATCTCATAACATAGCTTGATGTGCTATAGATATGTATATATTATTTACTGTTCTATTTTCTTGTTCCTGTCTCCATGGCTTTTTCATTTGTCACTTCATCTTGAAGTACTGCCTTCTAAACATGTTATATGTTGATTCCAGATAATAGAGCAGCAATGAGTTTTACTTAAAAAAAATTCTTTTGTATATGTCTGTAAGGTGACTCTGGGTTTGTAGGCCATGGCAGATATGTGGAGACTAGAAGACAACTTTTTGGAATCTTCTTTTGGCCATCTTCATATGGTGACCATGGAGAGGTTCCAGTGTACACACCACAGACATTTTACACTGAGCCATCTCACTGATGTTCAAACAAGATGAGTTGAATATTACATCAGTAAAATATTATCTTTTCAAATTGTAAATGCATTGCTTAAAAATGAAGGAAAAGGACCGGGCAGTGGTGGCACACGCCTTTAATCCTAGCATTTGGGAGGCAGAGGCAGGTGGATCTCTGTGAGTTCGAGACCAGCCTGGTCTACAAGAGCTAGTTCCAGGACAGGCTCCAAAACCACAGAGAAACCTTGTCTCGAAAAACAAAAACCAAAAAAAAAAGAATGAAGGAAAAGGGGACAATTTGAGTAATAAATCCTGTTATGATTTGCTGGCAAAAAAAAAAAAAATACTCTGTATTTACCCTTCACCTTGGTTTCAGTTAACATAAGACCATAGCCCAGGAAATTAACTGTTTATACCTTTACCCCTCGAGACACAGGAAAAGGGCCTGAGTCGCAGAAACCAGCCTCAGAGAGAAAAATTCTCATGTGGGTACTGGCAGGCACCCTGCTGGAGTCAAAACAGGTTGCTATGGCTACCCTACTGGATTACCAGCCACCAGGGAAGAAAGGGAAATGCTCACAGAGTATGGCAGTGCTGCTGCATTTTTCTACAGTTAATCATAAACTTTAGCTATAGGAAAACTTCTTAGAATTCTGTAGTGGCTTAAAGTCCCATCCTTAATTCTCCTGATATCTTCCGTGGAGCTTTACAGCCATGCCTCCCCTTCTGAGATGTAAGAGGCCTCCTTCTGTAGAGAGCTGCGTGGGACCACATCTGATAATCAGCTCCTAATTATGGCTAAGACCTGACTTATGCTATTATCACGCAATGATCATCAGCTGCTTGCATATGCGTGGACCTATGGGCAGTGCCCACCTGGCAATCCAGGGTTGGTAGCCCATGCCTACTTAAGGGCTGGGAAAGGTTTGCCCAGGGGGAGAGAGGGAGAGGGAGAGAGAGAAAGGGAGGGAGGGAGGGAGGGAGGGAGGGAAAGAGAAAAGAGGGAGGGAGGGAGAATTGTAAAAAGGTCCTGAATAAAAGTGAAGTAGGAAGAGCTCCGGTGTGTTGCATCATCCTTGCTGGCCAAGGGCTGAACACAACAGTGGTGGCCTCGTACGGGGACAAGCGTATGGGGAACCTCCAAACCTCTCTGTAGAGCCCAGAACTTGCTGCAGTCAGGAGGTGCACCGGTAAATCCTCAAGATAAAGACTGGGGATCATCGAAAAAGTGGGTTTTTCGCTCTCGCCGGTAGAATGAAGGGAGGGGGGAGGATAGGGCCACGACTAAAGCGGACGGATCAAAGTGAAAGGGACAGTATAGCTATGACCAAAGTGGACAGGTCAAAGTAAAACTAAAGGAAAGAATGGGAGTTTAGAATGGGCGCTTCAACATCACATCTGATTTTTCTAGCTCTTAACGAGCTGTTACGGAGCACATTGGAGAGGTTTTTGACTGAATGTGACACAATTGCTCCTTGGTTTGCCGTCTCTGGCAATCTTAATGTGTCATCCTGGGACAAGCTTGGTAGAGATCTGGATTTTGCCACTGAACAAGGTACGATAAGGAAGGGAGTTAGATTCATGTGGTTTGAATTACCGAGACCTCCTGAGTTTGCAGTGGAGTGTGAGCAGCTGTGGCTCCAAGGCCAAGCGGCTCTGAAGGGCTGCAAAGCCTGCAAACACCCAGGACCTGCCTTGAGGACCAACAAGGCCAGAATGCTAGGCCACTCCCAGCATGGATGCCTCAGGGCTCTCAGCACAACCTAGTTAAGATCCATTAGCCTGAACCTCTGTCCAGGTCGGGGGCCAGCGGCTCAGCCCTGCCACGCCTCCACCTTCCAGCTCTGTGGGGAAGTGGAGTCTCCGCCTCTCCCCAGTCACTGCTACCAGAGTCCAAGCGTGACTGAAATGGCAGTAAGAATGCAACATTCCCGCTCAGCAGGAAGTAGCCAGATTGACAACGCCCAAATTCTCTATAAGATAATTTAAGTGGGGCCCCTTCAGAGCAGCGAGCCTGCTTTCCTGAGTTCCGCTCCACTCCATGCACCAGTTTGGACCCAGAACGAATGCAGTGGGGCTAGAAGGCAGCTGGAGCAGAGCTTTGCTAGGTGGCTGTGGTGGAAGGCACATTGCCTCAGCCCAGTCGGTGCCTAGCCTGGCAGATGCCACAGCAGTGCCAGGAGTATCAGCAAATGCAACAAGTGCTAGAGCTGAGACAAACTGGAGCACAGACTACTGAGCTGCCCAAGAACGCAGCGTAGCCACGGGGCAAGGAAAAGACAATGGCAGTTCCAGGCTCTGTAAGCTGCTGAAGAGTCTGCAGCAGAGCAAATTTAAATCGAGAGACTGCCCTATTGTAGGAGCAGGTGGACCTATGGCTGGTACAACAAATGTCTTGTTCATTATTTCATTTGTATGACATCTGTTAATATTGCTAATGCCTCATGTGGTGAAACAACTCAATGGTTACTTGAATAGCCCTTGAAATGTTACAATTAGCACACCAGATTGTTGATATCTGTGTGCTCTGTTTTAGCCAAAGGGTCAGTAGAATACCATAGCCCAAATGGGAGATTGGGTCCAGTGGCGACTGGGAACCCTATTGCTAGCAATCTCAATACCTGTTGCCATGGGCATTCATCTTTGAATCCTGTGTAAGATCAGACAACCCATGAGAATGCAGCATACGGTCACTTAGCAGAAGCAGGATCAGCTGGGCTGCTAGGGAAGCCAAAGAGGTGTATGAGGGAGAAAGTGTCTTCCATGCACTTAACTGACAAGAATGAATATGCCACGGGGGTATGGCAGCTGGGGTATGTTATTTAGGAAACTGCTGAAAAGAGAGGCAAGTCTATACCCTAGTCTGTCAGACATTTCTATCTATCCGGGGCTGTGTGTGACCAGCATTCAACATGAAAAATTTACTCATGCAACTAATCTGTCTAAAGAATTGTCTAGCTATCTTTTAGGTAATTGGTCTGGTGAATTCGAACAACAACTGGAAAAGCTGCAAGTAGTGACTGCAAATTCCACACACATGGATACCAGCCTGGCAGAAGGACTATCCTCCTGGATCACTCCACGGATCATCTGAAGGAGTGGGCGGGATAAGAGCCCTGGTGGGCTTAGTGGTGCTTGCCTCCCTGGTATACCTGTGGTGCATCTGTCACATAAGGGTTTCACAGCATCGCAATGCAGTTATGATCATTCAGGCCTTCACGGCCATTGAAGCAGGACAGTCCCCTCAAGCTTAGTTATCTATATTTGAGCACAGGATGCAAGGCTTGTGCACTGCACTTGAGGTCAGAGAAGTCAACCTCAAGAAGAGCAAGTCTGATTGCATGTGGGTTGGTGTCTAACTCCCACCTCTGTAAAAGGACACCAGACAGGTCTAGTGTTCTCTGAGTGGATGACACCTGGACAGACACTAGTACATGTTCCATTTTTAACAGAGATCAGACCTCTACTCTTGCCTGTAGGGATAAGTCCAGCCCCTTAGGGGGCGTGTTCGCCTCGGGCTAATGTTTACCTATAAATCTGGCTAGTGCTCCCAGCCGCTTCTTCTGCTTTCCTGGTCTCCGCAGGGGTCTCCGCAGGAATGGTAATTCTGTAAGTCTATTTCCCCATTAAAGCTGTATATATTTTTACAATCTGTCTGCATTCATTTATACTTGCCTGTTGCTTTACAAACAAAAGGGGGAACTGTAGAGAGCTGCATGGGGCCACATCTGATAATCAGCTCCTAATATGCTATTATCACGCAATGATCATCAGCTGCTTGCATATATGCGTGGACCTATGGGCAGTGCCCACCTGGCAATCTGGGATTGGCAGCCCATGCCTACTTAAGGGCTGGGAGAGGTTTACCCAGGAGGGGGGAGAGAGAGAGAGAGAGGGAGAGGGAGAGAGAGAGAGAGAGAG